TGCCCCGGGATTAATTAAATCAACATTATCTACTTCTGGCTTAATGGAATATTGTGAAATGTAATACAACTGGAGAGAATAGGTATTTGGAAGCCAGCAGTATTCTGTTTAACTTACATTCTGAGAGTGTATATAAGCTGTGGTTCTATAACTTCTGCTATAGTTGCAATATCTGTATCTGAAAGGTGACAACAGTTTTATTACAGAAGCAGCTGCTCTGTTTTAAATTCCATGTAACATGCTTAGATTCTAGGTCTTGCCTCTTTAACAGAAATCAACGTTCTCTTGTGTTTTGGTCAGCATACACAGTTCTCATCATTTGATGTACACAGCCAGTGTGGGAATTTTTTAAAAATTACCAGGTAATTCAGAGAGCTAAACTGAGTCCATGATTATGGTGAAGTCTGACCCAAAATTTTAATTTGTAATTTAGCATGTATCTCATGCAATTTGGGGAGCATCAAACTAAATCTGCAATTGTCAGAAGCCTTGTTACAGTTTAATGCACATTAACTAAAATGTGTACATTTTTAGTGTTGATGATAAATTCAGTTATGACCTTATTACACTTTTGGCATTCTTTAAGAAAGCATTTTAAGCTTTAATATAGAAATATTTAGTTTACATTTAACTTGTGCTCAGGTAATATAATAAACGTCTTTTCGCTTTTGATCTCATACATTCTCTCTTCAGGTATGGCCCATCTCCTGTACACTTGGAGCAACCTTTGGCTACGTGGCTGGCCTTGTTATTTCACCACTCTGGATATACTGGAATAGAAAGCAACTTACATACAAGAACAATTAACTGGAGCAAAGGGAGAAGATATTTCTTTGTGCAGACTCCGTAAGGGCTGTGCAGAAATGTATATGGTCAAAGCCAAGCAGTTCCATTTACAGCACTGTTGTTTTTTTTAATGTAGTTTCAACATGATGTGATTGTAGCTTTTTGAACTATGAAAACCCTGAGAGATTGTACCTTCTAGTTGAAATAAAGTATTTATAATAGATTGTGGCTTCAGATTCTGTTTGCTGCTTCTTAGACCTTTAAGGAACATTCTTAATGAACTTTATAGAATTCTGAGGACAGGTTTTTGTTTTCTTTCAAGTTTGAAACTGCTTCATTACAAGAGGTCTGGGTATCGCTGTAGCATTTCATATGCTTTCTGAGAGAAATTGACAGTTTTCTTGGCCACTGAAGTTTTTCACGTAATCAAACAACAGTTTATACATCTTGATCCTATTCTTTTTTTAACTGTATGTTTCTTTGGAGTTAAAATGGCTATGATAGCCTCATCAAAAACAGTCTTCAATCCCTTCTGGGTTAAAGCTGAACATTCCACATAGCAGCATGCTCCTATCTGGGAGGGAGAAAAATAAAATCACAAATATATAAAATCTTTTACATAATTGGTGTGACACATCACATTATAACAAACTGTAAAACACAGCTATGCAAGAGAATAAACTTATCATCCCTATTCATATGCCCAACAGTACCCAACTGTTAAAATACTAGTATATTTCCTAGACTTCATGAAAAATTCTTTCATCAAATATTTGATGAGTACCCACTATACCTCAACATTATTTAGGTCCTGGGGAGATATCCGTGAACTTAACCACATCTGCTTACATCCCACAAAGGAGAGGCACACGGAGGAGGACTCTAGACCAGACGGTGAAAATGCTAGGGAGAAAAAGAGTAACTGAGCTTGGAGGCTGGTGGTGGTGGTAGGTCAGGAAAGGTTTCAAGTTGAGCAGTCAAGGTCAAGGAGAAGGGCTGTAGATAGGACCCTAGATGCAAAGATCTGAGGTGGGAACATGTTTGGAGCATTCGAGGAACAGAAAAAATGCCAGAGTGGCGGAAGAGCGAGCATCAGGGAGTGGGAGAGATGGGGTGAGGGAGGTAACCTTGAGGCCATACTAACTGGCTTCTACTCCAAGGGGACCTGCTCTTCCACTGAAAGTTAACTGCACACTCATTTGCTAAATTAACTCCCTACCCTACTCTCATGCAACTCACTGCATCTTGGAGAAGCCCATGCAAGCACTAGTAAGTACAAAGGCACACTGTAAAAAGGAAATGTGTGCTCTGGGGAAAGATGGGAAGGAAGATAAAGTAGGGAGTGGGTATGGACGATCAGGTGGGGGTCACATGGAGAAAGTTCATAAGCAGACACCTGAAAGGGGTTAAGGAATGAATAATGGACCTCCAGGGAAGAAGAGTCCAGGCAGAGGGAGCAGCAAAGTACAAAGGCCGGAGGCAGGTCTAGAGGCAGAGAGGCCAGGGCTGGAGCAGAGAAGGAGCAGCGTCTATGGGCTGCCAGCAGGGCTCTGACCTGCACTTGGAGTGTGCTGGGGACCAACCAGAGGGTTCTGGGCAGAGCAATGACCTGACCAAGCTTGTATTTTCTTTTGTGGTTTTTTTTTTGTTTTTGTTTTTGTTTTGTTTTGTTTTGGTACCGGGGATCGAACTTGGGACCTTGCACTTGCGCAGCAGGCACCGGAACCACTAAGCTAAATCCCCAGCCCCAAGCTTGTATTTTAAAACTCATTCTGCTGCTGTGTTGAAAAGATTATCATGGAGCAGAGACGGCAGAAAGGTGAGTGAAAAGCGGTTCCAGTAATCTAGGTCAGAGGTGAGGAGGAGAGGGTGAGAAGGAAGCATTTGGAGCCTGTCTGTTCTGAAGGCAGAACAGTATGTTCTGCTGAAAGATTAGATGTGTAGTACAAGACAGAAAGCAAGGTCAGGTATGACTTCAAGGTTTCTGACCTGAGTAACTGCCAGGACAGGCTTGGAGGGTAAAATCAGGAACTCTGTTTCAGGCATGTTAATTCAAAAATGCTCAGTCATCCAGACAGACTTGTTAAGTGCACAACTGGAGAGCTACATCCAAAGTTTGTGGAAGAGGTTCAGGCTGGAGATACAAATTGCGGAAACTATTCAAGCCACAAGACGGGAAGAAGGTCCCTAGGCCTTGGGAAGTGGGTATCGCCATGGGAGAGTGCTGATGCCTGGCGCCCTCCAACATTCAGGGGCCATGGAGATGAAGAGATGGCTGAGGGCCCAACAAGAAGGGAGAAGAACCAAGAGAGGGGCTCAAGGAAGCCAAGTGAGGCAAGTGTTTCAGGAAGAACAGTTTTCCTAGCATGTATGAGGGCCCGGCTTGCAGCCTCAGCACCACCCCGTGCATGTCCCAAAAACTGTTAGTCTGAGTTACAGTCTAACTGAAACTTTTTTGACCAACATCCTAACAATTTTCTTAGGATAAACTGCTACATAAGGAATTGCTTTATCAAAAGTGAGCATGATTTTAAGGCTTTTGCATGTTATCAAGATTGCTTTTATTCAACAACCACCAATATAATACAATGCCTATTTCCTTGCACCCTTGCAACAGTACCTTTAATTCATTTTTTGCCACCTTTATATGTGGAAACTGAATGACTGTAATAGTGGTGTGAACATTCTTATCTTTAATACACCATTCTTAGCCTACTGAGGTATATGTCTTTTTATGATTAATTCATTTATGCTAGCAATTCCTGTATACGAAGGACATTAACCCACTTTTCTGTCATATATATCATTTGTTGTATGACTTTTAATTCTATTTCTGGCAATTTTATGTGGTTAAATCGATATCATCATTTATGACATTTAGAAATTCCTTTTTTCCTCAAGATATCAAAATTGAATATTAAGAAATTCCTAAAGTGATTTTTTTTTCTTCTAAAGTGATCTGTTAGTGAAACCTTTATGTTCTGCTTTGGGAAAAACTGCCTTGAAGAAAATTTTCTTGTTTCTCCTGTCTACTAATACATAGCACATTACTTATTAAATTCTGTTTCCACAAAAGTCCTATTAAAACATGTCACAACATTTTTTAAAAAAAATACAGGGCCGGGGATTTAGCTCAGTGGTTCTGCCACCTGCCTCACAAGCGCTGAGTTCGATCCCCGGTACCACACACACAAAAAAGAAAAAAATCCAATAATGTTAGGGCCAAATAGAGAAAAAGTAAACCTACCTTCAGGGCGAGGAAGAATATAAACTAAAAGGTGAGAGGTGCATCGCTGTTACTTTTTTTTTTTTTTTTTTTAGAAACCTGGCCATAATTTTATTTCTAACCACAAATTTAAATTATCTTCCTATGTGACTGTACAACCTAATTCCTTAAGTCTACTGAAAACAGTCTGATTTGGCACAGTACAAAGTTTAAATATTTAAAAAGGTCTTAAAGTCTCAGCACCTGCTACTGATAAATACGTAACTTTTAAAGAAAATACTGTTGGCAGCATGGCACAGGTAGAAGAGCCTGGCTTTGGACTGAATCCCAACTCTGCTACTGCAGGGCCTTGGGCAATGTCCCCAAGCCACTGTTTTCTCTTCTCTACAACAAGAAAAAAAAAACAAAGAAAAAAACCCTGCCTCACAGAATTGGTGCAAGGATTACATGAGAAAATGCATGTAAGGCACTCAGCACAGTGCCTGGTGTACCAGAAATACACAAGTGTTCACTTCTACTATTACCTTTACATTTATTTTTAAATTCTGCAAACGTTCCATTACCTCTTTTGCTAGTTTCTGTCCTTGTTCCACACATATAGGTTTTTCTTTCATATCATTCAGTCTCGCTAAAGTTTTGGGGTCATCCCGGAGATCAATCTAATTAAGAAAGGTCAATAATGTCCCATAACATTACAAGTCTTTAAAAAGAAATCAAAGCATGTCATCCCATTTAATCCCCACATGCCAAAAAAACCCCCACAATATTAAAAAGAAATGAATTTTTTAAAGCTACTAATATAACTACTTTATTTTGACACTATTTTCCCCCCAAAATATGGCAGAACTTATTAACCTGCATCTGAATTTAAACACATCATTTGCTAACCTTAGGACCATTTGTCTGAGAGTAAGCCCTCCACCCCCACTGACTGACTTATACTTGACCTGATAAAAATCAAAGCAGACGTACCTGAGTTCCTATTAATAAAAAGGGTACATTTGGGGCATATTCCTTAAGTTCCGGTACCCACTCTTCTTTCACATTTTGAAATGAGGCTGGATTGACCACGGAGAAGCATATGAGGAAGACATCAGTCATTGGATAGGATAAAGGCCTCAGACGATCATAGTCTTCCTGAGACAAAAAGAAAAACCTCATTATCTACATTTACTTGTCTATAGTTTACTTATATACCTTACATCATATGATCAAAGAGACAAATTCAGAAGTGTCCCACAAATTAAATGCATGGCACTCTACATAAGATGATTCCACTTGTTTTTGTTAATTTTTTTCAAAGTTCTGAACACCAATAGAGTAAAAATAATGAGTATCACTAATAAATTCAACAAAAACTAAGAAAGTAAATTGTAATTACTAAAGCATTCACTGGAATCATTTTTAACTTTTAAATTTTTAAAAAACTTTTAAACTTTTTCATTTTTAAAAAGTCTACACAAAGAATTGAGGAGAGCTAAATAATAAGAACTATAACAACATACAGGTATTTATTATGTGTCAACTTTTAATCATTGCGTTCTCTTAGGGATTACTTAATCCTTGTAACAACACAAGTACCCCATCCTTGTTTTCCTTCACAAAGACAAAGACTGTATGTAAAGATATGTAGCCATAAGGAACTAGGATTCAAACCCTTCAGGGTATTACTCCAGAGTCTATGCTCTTAACTACAGTCAAGGTGTGATCATAAAATACAGTGGTTTAAACTTTAACAAGTATTGTCACACTAAAAGACATACTGCCATTAATTGCCTATAAAATACTCCTCTTTGAACACACTTATCCAATTGTTCTTACCACTTTCTGAAGCAGTTCTGGAAGTCCTGTTATCCATTTAAAGTGTTTAACTTTTCATAGTCACTCTGACATAGAGGAGAGCCAGAAGTTGCACAGTCCCAGACCCAAATGAAAATGGTGAAGAAGATACATTATAATGGTTTTGACAAATTGACCTAAATTTTCTGAATCAATTCAGGAAATCAAGGCAGTCATGGAAAGACAAAAGAGGTCTTCCAGAACTGCTCCAGGAAAGTGGCTACAACAGTAGGATAAGTGTATTCAAAGTATGGAGGAATATTGTGAGGAAGATTAATGGCAATGTGTCTTTGAGTGTTAAAAAAGTGTTTTATTTAAACATTCACCTTACTTATTCGTCACACTTCACACCTTCACTGAGACCCTCAATTTTTGCTTCCCTTGTTTTCTAGCATTTTCCCTTGTTTTCTGTGTGTGTGTGTGTGTGTGTGTGTGTGAAATTGAAAGACAGAAACATATGGAATAAATTCACAGAAACATCCTTTTTCTCCCCAACTTCTATCTTCCTTTCCAAATGTTTTTATGTTAATCTATTCAGCTCTCAGTTCTTTTTCTATGCATGCATCCACCTGCAGCTACACATATTCATACAGCTGGACATGAGATCATGCAATGTGTGTTCTGCACCTCCTTCGTCCAGTCTGCCCTGGAAATCTCTCCAAATCAGAACATGTTGGGCTATCAATTCTTTTAAACTGCTGCTTCTCGGTGGTCTTCCTGATGGTTGTTTTAGTCTCTGTGTATCACAAAAGGTAGTAAATGTCATCTTTTGCATGGACTACTTTATGTGACACCAAATTCTGCTAATTCATATTTTAGTGAGGGAACAAAGTCAGGATTCCATTTTTGTCACTCGCTACATTTGCATCTGGTTTCAAGGAAACTTTGTTTTGGGCCTAGGTCTCCTCCCCTCTTAACTCACTTCACTGTTAGAACAGCACAAATGTGGGACTAAGAATATTCAAAACATCTTTCACTCAGAATTCCAATGGTACTATTTCTTCCACAGATCAACTTTCCTTTCATGTCATCTTCTGCCATTTTTCTTCATTCAATTTTCAGCTCAAGCATAGAGCTGCCCCTCAGTATCTGAGGGAGACTGGTTCCAGGACCCTGGAGCTATCAAAATCCATAGATGCCCAAGTTTCTTAGACGAAATAGCACAGCATATGCATAGAACCACCACACACCCTCCTGTGTACTTTCAATCATCTCTAGATTACTTAGACTACCTAGTATAATGTAAATACTGTGTAAATGGTTATCCACTGTATTGCTTAGAAAATAATGAAGGGGGAAAGGCCTGCACATGTTCAGTACACATCCATTTCTTCCCCAAATATTTTGAGTCCACAGTTGATTAAATCTACAAGCCTGGACGCTAAGGACATAGGCCAATGGCAATAACACCTCAAACTCTTGACTCTGGAGGTGAACTCTTCCGTTGTACTGCAAAGCTTTCAAAAGGCACTCCTACACTAGAGCTTTGCACACCGAGATTTCTCAGGCAATGGCTCTCACAGGACAAAAGGGGAAAAGCCACCTCTCAACCTTCTACACCTTTTATTTTTGTGTTGAGACAGGGTCTCGCTATGTAGTGCAAGCTGGCCTTAAACTCACTACACATAGCCTAGGCTGGCCTCGAACTCATGGCAACCCTTTTGCCTGAGTCTCCCATGTCCTGTGATTACAAGTGTGCACCACCACGCCAGCCCTAAAACCTTTATTTTTAAAAGTGGAGGCCTGAATTTGATTTTGACTCAAACTATGCCCCGGCATTAAGAAATTATTCATGAGGAAATCAAGTAGAGTAGGTATGGAACGTGTTATACCCCAGCCAGAAGGACTATTATCAAAAATATACATTTTGAAAACTCAGTTTGTACGTTAAGTAGTGCGATCAGGTGCACTGAATGTGGTTTCCACACTTTATTCCCTATTTTAAAGTGCAAATACATCAGAGAATCAAAGAAACAGTATTTAACCTCAGCATTCTATCCAGCAGCTCTATGCTTCTGAGCATACCTGCATTTGGCATGGTCTGGGGATGGGGAGTTCTCATTAAAACTCACTCCTCGCCAGATTTAGGTTTCCAGTGTTCACAGAAATAGAAGTGAGGATGCTCTTCTAGAGGATTATGAGGAATAAATGAAATAATACAACTGAAGCACTCAGCATTACACCTGGCATATGAAAGAAGCTGTCCAGTGCTTTAACATAAATTCTTTATCCCATGAAAAGCTGATTCTCTTCCTCCACAAACCCAGGCAGAATCCCACGAGTCCCATACATTCCTGGCTTTGTATCTCCCTCCAACTACAACTAAAGCAACTCCTTTACTGAGAAATAAAAATTTTCTGCATTCCCAACAAAATGCATAAACTGAGGTCTCTTGAGGGCAGTGTAACTGTCAGATTAATAGAAAGAGAATGGTATATTATCACTGCAGTAATTAGTCATTTTGGAATTGAGCAGCCTTAAGACTTGAAAGAGAATGAAGAAAAATTTGTATTTTTTCAAGAATCCCAAATTTACTGTAATGAAAATTTTGCTTTTCAAGCAAGTTTACCTCATCAGGGAAATATAATTATTTATTCTTTCTCTAGGGGGATATGACAAGAAATTTAAAGCAGGTGAATTCAAAGTTCTCTAGAAATTCTTGATATTAATAAAAATATTCCACAGAATATAAATCTGTTCTACAGATTCCCTTCATAAGCACAGTTGAGTCCCGATTTTTCTCAGTGAGGAACACATGGGGGCACAAGGGACCAAATCATTTCTAGGTACTGTATTTCTTAAACTGCAAATTCTGTTAGAATAATTAAATGTAGGGAACTGAGGTTAGAAAACAAACAAACAAACAACAAAACAAGTAGGTTTAGAACTCTTTAGAAAGAAATGTTACTTTGTAAGTCCAAGCTACCTAAAGTGAACTCTGACCTGTCACTTCTGGCTAAATAATTGGCAGTTATTATAAGAAGGAGACCCTTCTGCTTCCATTCAGCCTAAGTAATTAGAAGTCTAATAATAGATAGCAAATTAAAAAATAAATTATCCCTTGTGCACACTGTACTTGGCATCATATAAAAATGTTTACACTCCCTGTACCATATCTTGAGTGAACTTAATGTGGAATATTGGATTTGGTAATAAATAGGTGGAAATTTGCAGAATGTGTCCTCTCAAGTATATATTTAAATCTGACAACACAAAGAAAGTTAAATGTGGTACAATTGCCCTTACTTTTAAATGACCACTTATCAAAGTCAAAACTCTTCCCAGCCAACTCTCCAGTGTCCTCCTAATTAACAAACCAATATATATTTTAGTTCTACTTTTAAAAGTAGGTATTTTAAACATTTAACTAGAACATCCTCAAGAGTGCAGAAAAGTATATTAGAGACAATTATCTGATCAAACCATGAAAAAAAATGTTGAGTTTGGTCAACAGGATTTTGGACTGGTAAATAAATCCTTTAACTTTGTACCAACTGGCTAAGTAGCAGAGGAGTCAATTTTTAAAGTGTGTTCTGATAGCTTAGTGATTCAGCTAGTCTCTATTACTGTCAAGAATTCTTGATCTGTGACAACCATAATCCTTAAAAGTATCACACACTTATTATCTGACAAGAATTGCAAATAAGAGACCAAAGAAATGTTCCTGAGAGGAAACAAGATTTTCTGGAGCAACAGGGACACACAGTAGATGCACAGCAGCCAGAGACATCTGTTGGTGTCTTGCTCAGCCCGTGGGGCCCACAACCCTCCCTGCTTCTTCACTGATCTTGTCTCGTCATGTGGATCTGGGTGTTCCCTCCCACTTTACTGGTCTTTGTTTAAAATGCTTGTGTCTGTTTATTTAAAATAAATACCCCAAACTTGTATTTTACATAAAACCATGCACACGGGACAAGCTAGCCTCTGCCAGGTTTTGTCTGTGGGCATGCTGTCATACATTGGCTACTTAAAAGCCATCAGCAAAGATTTATTGAGTGAGATTACGCTGCATGGAAAATGTTCACATACACACATATAAAAGACATAGTTGTATACATTGGAACTCATAGTTTAGTTGGGAGTTCAAGACATAAATAGAGAAAGAAAGTCATATACAATGGGGGAGATCAACATGGAAGCTGGAACAGATGAATAGATCAATGGTTAATCCAAGAAACATTAAAATAAGCATCTACTAGCTACATGGAACAGTGCTGCAAAACCATCAGAGACATGAAGGAAGGCCAAGATTCAAATACTTAATTTATCAAACACTCTGTAAACATTTACCAAGCTCT